TGCATTTCTTTATCTGACCATGGGTGAGTTGTTTATAGCTGGGGGGTCTTCATTGTCAAGCGTGTGGGCAGATGAACATGTTTGTATGTCATCTCCCATACCTGTACTCCTCTACACTGCATCCTGTGCCTCCACTTCTCAAGGCCTTTGCTAAGATACCAGTCCTGTATTTCTCCATAGTACATTATTATAATGGAGTCACGAAACCTGGGTGGCTCCATACAATGACAAAGAAAAGTAAATCAAATTAGCTATAGCTAGCTGGTCAATTAGAAAAATTGCTGTTCCAGCTACACCGAATGTGACAAAGCTGCAGACAGGCCAAGGAAAGCTCAGACAGAGCAAGCCTCGACAAGCCTCAGTCCCAAGGCCTTGCAAACTCACTACAAAGCCCATGGCCTGTCATTAGTGATGGCAATACATACAGTATTGCAATACATGCAGGGTCGCAGGGTAATGCATTATCAACGCAGCTGATGTTTGGGGTATTATACTGGAAGAGCTGGAGGATATGGACAGGTTAAATCATGTGAGAAAACCTGATAGTTCAGAGTGGGAGATTACACTCATATGGACTAATAATAAAATACTTGCTTCTATAATCTGGGACCTTGCCAGTTGCTTTGGAAAGAACAGCTGAAGGGAAGGGCTTGTGAGTAATAGTTATTAACAGCAAAAAAGCCACCTGCAAAAGGCATATGTGATCCTAGGATGTGCTGCATATGCTAGTTTCAGTAAGGCTATGAAAAATAAACACTTGCTCACCGATGGAGCTTCGTCTGAAATTGGTTTGTTGGATGCTTGTGTTCAGGAAAGACTTGTTCAGATGTGAGAAATGGAGAACCTGTGTATGAGTTAATTGCACGAGTGCAGACAGTTGCTCCAGCAAGCTTGACTTGCACTAACAAGAGATCCAAAGGTCTACAGAGCACAGCATGAAAGCACCTGGGCTGCCTTGGGCTGCCAACTTGGGTATGAAGGAAGTAAGCTGCATTTGCAGTGTCTTGGGTTGGAAGGAGTAAAATTTTTGTCTTGGGCTGTTAGACAAAGCCTGGCACTGCATGAAAGTGTCTGTAGCGCTTCTGGACCCAAATGGAAGTGTCTGCACGTGCTATGCTATATGGATACCGGTTTGGGTCTCTGGTAGAGCTGGGATTTGTGTGCTGCAGTCCATAGGATAGGTATTTCCTGAAAGAGTTGGTACACTTAGTCATGTGGACTGTACTCATCACAGGAAACGAATGATTTAATGAATCAGGTTCAGGAGAGATGAGTGCGATTGTAAAATCAGGTCGTGGGTAGTGCGGGATTCGGAGTGGGAGGCTCAAGGTCCACTTAGAAGGTCCTTTAAACTGCAGCCGTACTGTGACTTCTTCCTGACTCTCTTTCTGGTGCTCAGCATGCAATTGAACCCATGGATGTATGGCTGATGAACTCATTAGTTTTCTGATCACCTCCCATTTTTTAATGTTCCTTTCATTTTTTTACTCCCAAGCAGAGATTGACTGTGAAATCAACTGTAAGACTGAGGTAATTCCTGTGTCTCATTTTTGTTCGGAAAAGCCACTTGCTATGGTCATCTCAGCTGGGCTTCACTTCTCACCTCGTTACACACTTCATGTTTTCCTAACACTCTCTGTTTTAGTGTTTAACTGTCATTAACTACTTCTCTCTTCTCTCATTCCTGTTTTGGTGCTCTTTTCATGATTACTCACTCTCTTTTTCTGATCTTGTTCCAGCTTACCGTTTAAACTGTTCTAAACTCTCTTTCTCTCTCTTTACCTTTCCTCTCTTCTGAAGTTTCCTGGAGCTCTCCCCACCCCAAATGTCTCTTTTCTTTCCTTCTCTTTTATTTTTGTCTCTTCCTGTTGGTTGTAAATGCCACTGCCATTTGTTTAAATGCTGCTGCCTTGCTCTGTTTAGGGGCTGTCAGAAGGGATTTTAGAAATGCTTTCCCTTCATGACACACAATTTACTTGTTACCATTGGTGTAGACAGAAGGCTCAATGCAAAAAAAAAAGTCAAGGAGGAGTCTATTCTGCATGTCGTGAAACAATTGTTTTTTCATTGCTGTTAGCATTTTTGGCAGTTCTTTAAACCAAAGTTTGAACTGGAAATGAAATGGAAAGGAAAAGGAAAAACTGTCACCTTCAAATTTTTTTTGGGAAAAAAAAAAAGGCAAAGGTTTTTTTTTTCAGTGGAATATATTGTTTTCAAAAACAAGTCCAGTTTGACAAGTTTTTCTCCTCATCCATCTTCTTAATGGCCAGCTGAAATATTTGCAAGGAAAACTGAAGATTGAACTCAAATGATTACTCAAATTCTGGCCTTCTGAAAAAAAAATCTAATGGGTACTGTATATAGGCCGTAGGTGATGTTTGTAATTTTGGGGGAGCACCTGCCCTTGCTGATCTATCATGTGCAAAACAATTATGCAATTTTCTGTAATCGCACCGGTTACATCAAATTCGAGGAGGTGGTGTGGTGAGAGGCAAGGCCTCCTTCTGTACAACAGGGCTTTTCACTTGTTGGTAATTAATAGCAAGGGCACTTCGGGAAGTAGCCTGGCTTTCTTTGCCAGAGGGATATATATACACATATCTGCAGGTTTAGTGTTTGCCTTAGACAACTTGGCAAGTATTTTGGCTGTAGAGAGACTTGGAGTCTTAGGAAAACATGCTATGTTAAGGCTCCGTGTGGTTTTGTTTATAGGGCTTCTGGAACATTTCAGATTCCAAAACCCAGCTATTTTCCCTGGCTATTTTGCTGAAAATAATGTCGATCAGATTCGAATTTGAGACTCTGTCAACTTAATATAAGGCAGCTTCCCCAGAGGCAGTTATCCACGGCTCCCGGTGACTGCCCTCAGCCCGTGGGGGTGCGTGCGACCACATCCCAGGTCCCTGAGGTGGGCAGCAGGGATGCAGGAGGGAGCCCCAAGCCTACAGTGGGCATCTCTTGCGTGTGGTGACATCCTGTGCAACAAACCCACTGGTGCTTCAGCTCCTGACATCCCCAGACAGCGTGCTGGGAAGGTGTCTTGAGGTTCTGGAAGTATTTGTCTCTTTCCATATGTTTCCACACAAGCACTTAATACTCCTTCGAGGAGGGAGTCTGGTGAGTTGTTTAGAAGAGAGGAGGTGAGAAGATAAATTGTTGTGAAAATGGGATGTGAGGTGAGGTGCAGTGCTACTGGTGGTGAAGTTTCTCCAAGGGAAAGGGGCTGAGGGGGGAAGTTTGGTGTCTTAACAGTGTTGCAACTGTGGTTACGGAGAACCAGTTTGAGGTAAGCTGAATAAAAAGGCAGGTTGCGTATTTTTTTTTAAATTGCTTATTTTATTTATTTATTTATTTCATTTTCTGTAAAACATGAGAGGCTCTAAGTGGAAACATGTAGCAGAAGAAAGGGAAAAACAAACCCAAGCTCATGCAGGACTCATGTGCGCTCTAGCTCCGGGCTTTTGAGTTCACTGGAAATGCTGGTGGTCCTTTCTTCGTGACAGGAAATTGTACTTTCTTTTGAAGTAAACCAAACTGGTGCTAATAACAGCTCTTTCAGACATTTGAATGCCAGGTCTCTTGCAATCTTCACATGAACTTTATTTAAACAAAACTATTAAATTTTCTCATCTGGCTTTTAGCATGGTATTAAAAATGGCTACTTAAAAGTCTGTGTGTTTGGGATTCCTCTCCTGTTTTCCACGTCAATTACAATTATTTTGCTTTTGAACAAGAGGTTGCCAGCAGGGAATACTGAGGAGTGCCAAATTAAATTTCAAATACATTTTGTTCTTTGTTCATGGTGAGAATTATGTCTTCCCTAAAGTTGCTGTGCTCAGCAAAATGAGCTCAGGTTGCCTCTAAACTCTCTGTAACATCAGTTTATTTGAGGTTTTTAAGGCCAGCTTAGTGGCTAGCACTGTTGACACCTCCTCGAAGGGCTGGCGTAGCGTGCATGTCATGGGCCCTGGTTTGAAAAAGGCTGGAGAAACCTTCCATCTGAGCAACCTCTAGTCCACTGTCTTGGTACCTGGCTGCCTACTAGAGAGGTGTCTCTGGGAAATGGGGAGGTTGCTTATTTTTAAGATATGTATTTGTTATGGCCCTGCTTTCTGATAAACAATGCCAAAATAAGACAATGCAAATTATACCGAAGTGAAAGGGAAATATGTGTGTAAGCCATTGAAGTCAGCCAGCTCTGAATGACTTTTGATGACTGGCTACTGACTGATGCTTCACCACCAAGCAAATGTTTTTAATACCTTTTTGTATTTGAATATTTGCTTCCCAAATCCAGATTTTGGGTTCATTAGCATGCTGTGGATAGCCTCTAGCTGTGTGTGCAAGTCCTATCTCTGTGCCCATTTTGCATTTCAGGCAATTAGCTTAATTTATATTAGGAAGAGACACTAACTGGAAGGGAAGGAAAAGGTAGGTAGCAACATGCCAATGACAATTAAGATAATACATCACATATTACCTGTATAAATTTTCATGAAAGAGCTCTTTTCAGATGTCAAGTAAGCCTGATAAGAACTTGAACCCTTGCAAGGTGGACAGTGTAGTATTCCCTATTTCATATGAACGGGTAAGCTGAAACACAAAGTATGTGTTATGTTTAGCTTTACACAATAAATCACAGCCAGAGGTCAGGAAAGAAGAGAGGAGTTCCAGGCCCATCAGGAACCTTGATTCTCTGACAGGTTTTGAGAAGGTGAGCAATAAGTACTGAACTTCCTGTGGCAAAACTCATCCATAACATCAGCGATGTAAATCAGTGATTTGGTACACAGGCTGGAAAATAATTGTTAAAAATCTTTGTATTCTCTCTGCAATGAAGATAATTGCCCATTCTGCCAATGGCTAATTACGTTTGACCTGCTTGTGTCTTATGGCCCTGAAGCAGAGCCTCCCAAAAATGCTGTAGCAACACTTTAGATGGGGTCCCACTTTTTACAGTCTAACCAACCTTTTTTTCCTCTCTCTTGTTAATCCCCAGAATGCAACAGCAACAACAGCAACGTCGAATGTTCACAGCTGCCTTCCTGGCACTTGTTTTCATTCTGGCAGCTGTGAACACCACCGAGGCTGGCAAAAAAGAGAAACCAGGTAAGGTCCAGTGTAATTCAGAGTTAATCCCCGAGATAGATTGTATGTGTGGGAGAATGTCAAATGCTTCTGGTTTTGTTCTGAAATTCAGGTCATTCGTTAACCTTTTGACATACAAGGTAGGGATTTGTGGCTGTGACATGTTGTTCTGTGTTAACAGGAAAACAGAAAGTAGTTTCCATGAAAGTTGGCAGCTTGACAGCCCCGGAGACTGGAGTCCTCAGTTTATCACAGAGTGTGTATTGCACGGCAGCTTAAAAATTGCTCTGGGAATAGGTTCATGCTTGACTTAGGGAGAACCAAACAGGAGTGATGAAAGAGCAGTTATCATGTCGCTTGTTCAGTGTTGTATATGACAATGATATGCCAATGCCGTGTGATGTGGAAATCCTCTGACAAAGAATTGAACTAACTCACTGCTGCAGATAGACAGCCAGACATCCAGCGGTAATTGCTTTCTGTCAGTGATGAACTCAGACCTCATTATAGGAGAGACAGGCCTGGGGTGGAAAATTGACATCTATCAAACCCAGTTTTGACATTTTTTAAGGAACACATCTTTTGGTGTTTTTCTTAAGGTCTTAGTATTTACAGGCTACTTACACACCAGTTTATATGACCTGTGAGTCTATCAGAATTAGTGTTCCCATTAAAAAAAAAAAAAAAAGGTGTTTCTAACCATTGTGGCTGTATGGAAATATGAGAAAATGTGAACATAAATATACAAGAGATAGAAGGAAGATAATTTTATATAAGGTTATTTAAAGTTGCTTGTGATGTTTTGGGGCCCTAACTATTTTTGTGAACCCTTGGGTTTGCTAACATTGCTGTCTTTTCTCATCAGACTTGGGTTTAAGGATTTAAATCATGATCCTTACTTTTGTCCCTGAGCAACAAACCCACCTGCATTAACAGCATTTCGAGTACACTTCTTCATGTAGTTTCTTCTTCACCTTTGGGGTTTTGGTCATATTCTGACATAAAACGTGACATGGTATACCAAGTGAAAAGTTTGTATCTCACAGCTGTTCCCTGGAGGTGCTCAAATCCTCTGATACACAACATCAACACGTACATTTCTAATCTGTATAGTGTGTAAGTGCTTCAGTTGGAACTGAAAATATTTGCATACCATCAGCTACTGGAGACAGAGGAGTGTTCTTTCTGGGCGAGCCCTCCTGCATGTTTTGGTCAGTGATCCCTGAGGGTTTCTAGATGATTCCCCATTCTGAAGATGAGAATCCACTCCAGAATATCTAAGTGGATATTCTAGTAGACATGGTAATGGGGCTGAATTTGAATGATCCACCCTGCTTTGGAGTCAGAGGCTGACCTATCTCTGCAGAACTGTGAAGAGGATGCCAGACCCTTTGCTTTTGAAGCAACTGTTTTACGAATGTCTTCCTTCTTCACCCTTTCAGGTGCTGTGACTGTTTAGTGATGTTTAGTGATCCATAGGCTCTGGGTACTGACGGCTTCTCTTCCTTGGGTTTGGTTCCTTGTCTTCATCCAGACAAAAAGGCGAAGAAGTCTGACTGCGGGGAATGGCAGTGGAGCATCTGTGTGCCCACCAGCGGTGACTGTGGCCTGGGGACGCGCGAGGGCACTCGCACTGGAGCTGAGTGCAAACAAACCACCAAGACTCAGAAGTGTAAGATTCCCTGCAACTGGAAGAAGCAGTTTGGAGGTAAGCATCACTCTCTCAAGGGATTTGCTTTGTTTTTTACTTAAGTGTGGAGCAGAAAGTCTGCATTTTCTGCTTCGCCCCTTGGTGAAGGCGCTACTTCTGTATTTCAAGTTCATCACAGCTGGAACACGTAAGGCATCAGAAGGCAGCTTCTTCAGAGCAAAGCAGCTCATCTGCTGAGAGTCCATGTAGCCTACTTCTTGTAAACTCAGTCTTCCAGCAGCGTGTTTAAATCTGCTCTCCTGTAATGTACAACGCTATATAAGGCAGCAGTGTAAGTGTCGTGTGTTCTCTCACAGCTGTGAATTTCTGCGATGGTTACCACAGGCTTTACGTGACCTTGCGGTGTGTGATTTGTAGCATGGAGCATGCGTGGCTACCAGTGTGTGCATTGAAAGGAGTGAATGAAGACCAGTGTATTTCATCTATATTATTTAGTTCAGAAGGTTCATCTATAACAGTTCAGAAAGATACGTCAGATCTGTCCTGGACAAGATGTCTGTTCAGGACTCAGATCTGATTACTCTTGCAAACTTGTTTTTTTTTTCTAGTATACAGCTTGTATGGCTTTGACATCATAGTGACCTTACCAAGGCAATCAGTGCAGCAGTTACAGACTTGACAAGTTCATAGTTGCACACAAATTCTTGAAACTATTCAATCCTCATTTGGTAACCTTTGGCAGCACAAAAAAGAAGGAACAGCCATATAGAATGTGAATGACATTTCCCACTGCTGTTTTTTTCTTTCTTTTTTTATTTGTTGTGTATCTTCATAGTTGAATGTATTTTCGTTTATATAACAATAATGCAGTATCTGTGCAAAAGCAAGAGGATTCCATTTTAAACCATTTGGGGGGACGATTACAATTATCACTGCAAATCATCTTTAAATTTTTCTTGGGATTCCTTTCTTCAGTTGCATGATCCTTTTGTCTACAAGCACTGGCTGTCTGTGATATCCTATTAGACTCATAGCATTTTTGTTTTCACACTTAGTCATTCTGTTTTAAAAATTGCTATTTATTTGCTTGTTGCAGCGGAGTGCAAATACCAGTTCCAGGCTTGGGGAGAATGTGACTTGAATACTGCCTTGAAGACTCGAACCGGGAACCTAAAGAGAGCCCTTCATAATGCTGACTGCCAGAAGACTGTCACAATCTCAAAGCCCTGTGGGAAGCTTACCAAACCCAAACCTCAAGGTAAATTCCATTTGCGGAAAGCTGCATGCTAGTTCATTTAAATCACTGGATTTGTGATGTCCTGCATGCTTCAGTGGGAACTCAGTAGTACAGGAGATTGTACTTTCATGGCCTTTCCTCAGTTCTGCACTGCTCCTACCTCTCGGCAGTCAGGCAGACAATATTCCCGAGTTGTGTAGTCAAGGAAGTCTCACACACAAGAAGTGAGCTGAAGATTAGAGCTCCAATTTTAACCTTAGACCACCTGTACTGCTACCAGTTTGCTTATGCTCACTACACCTCCAGGGTACAGATGCTTTTCATAACTCACCTGTTGACAGGCACAGACCAATAATAACGTGCAAAAACATCTCTCAGTAAAGACACCTTTTGTGTAGGTTTTGTTTTGTATCGAATAATGACTAGTTGAAAAAGGGAGTGCTTTCCTTCTGGACAGGTAGTATTGAAGAGATGTTCTGCTCACTGCATGTTGAAAAGAGGGTATGTGGATGTTTTGCACTCTTGGGGCTGTGTATTCTTTGTTCAAAGATAGCAGGAAGGAGAGTACAGAATGTATATGTCTTATTTAAATGCGAGCGACAGTGTAATTCCTAGTACATGGAAAAGCGTATGCCCTGCATTTGTGTTTCCAGGTGTCCCTTAGACAAACTTATTTTCTTTCTAATCATTAAAGCCTTTTAATGTACTCTTTTGTTGGAGTAGCAGGTGTTATGTGTGTAGGATGATTTATAGTGGGAGCTAAAACTGAGAGATCTTGTTTGAGATACAGAAGTAATGTGTTTTAAGTGGATTATACAAGCTATGCTACCCTGGCATTTGTTTGCTTAAAACCAGCTAGGTTTAACACATTCCAGGCACTGAATACTTGGATAATTATAAAAATAAATGTGATTAGGAGTGACAGGTGCAACTTGGACCAGCAATTTTCAAATAGTGGATGGTGGTGCATCATTGATCTGAGGGGTACCTGCAGGTGGCCTGCTCTGCTTGTGCAACCACAGACACGTCTGATGAGGTTGCAGACGCTTTCTGTGTGTGCGCATGCATCCATCTTGCTTTGCAGTCAGTACAGCTGTAACTGGTCTTCCTCGCACACCATCCGTGGAGTTACCAGATAAGCACTAAGTCTAGAACCTGTGTAGATAATGACAAGCTGTGAAGTAGAAAGGATACAACTAGATTTTGAGAGACCAGCTGACTTGGTTGAGTTGGCAGCAATAAACATCTTCATTTGGGGATGGAAGTGGCTGGGTGGGAATGCATGAAGGGCTTTGAACTGTGTGATTTTATTGTTTATTAGCTTGGGGTTTTTTTGAGTAAGTTTCCATGCCTAAGTGGCATTTGGGAATTCATTGAATGAAGCTTCCTATTGCGCTGCCAGAATGCCTCTGCCGCTCGAGCTACTAGTAGCCCTCTGCCTTATTCTGCTCCCGTTGAGTCAGTATATTCTGTCAATGGCTGTCAGAAGAGGGGAGGGGGAGACAAAGGAGTGTTGATGCAGCATCGTTTTGTGAGAGCAGCGCTGTTGGGTGGTACAGGGTCATTTTCAAGTTATAGTTTTAAAGGCAGAGCTTGTGAAATTGCTGGATTGGAGTTAACTTTAACTGATTCTAGATATGAGTGAGTCACAGCTGAGACTGAAACTCAGATTGGGACTGACTGCAGCAAACATAGTTATGTGGTTTGACTTAATTAGGAAACCTGACTTCATTTGATTTGAAGGAATGCAAAAGGAGAAATAGGTACAAACGTAGGTTTGTGATCATAATAACTGTGGGCAGAAATTCTGCTCTCCTGATTTGAGTTTGAAATCTCACGGCATCTTCCTGCCTGCCACCTGCTCATTCATCTGCTGTTGGCATTAGTAGGAGCAGCACGCATGGAAGTCACACACTTGCCTGCCTGGGCCCTGAGCTAAAGATAAGAAATCCATATTGCAGATCTGTGGGCATAACTACATAGGAGCTACACCGGACAGTATGTTGGCAGCAGCAGGAGGAACTAGAGTATGAAATTAGGTCAAGCAGATTAGTGCTGTGTGAAATGTTGTGCCCTACTGAACCTTATTTCTGAATTAAAAATCTGAGTGCTGACGTGTTAGCTGGAATAAGAGTATTTGTTTTCTTCCTGAGGTGAAGGAAATTACAGGTAGGAGGTAAGTCCCCACCCACATCTAGATAAAGGAAAAATTAAACTGTATGCAATCTGTAGTTAGAATAGGACCCAATTTAATTCTTTGGAGACAAGAAGTAAGATCTAGATTATTGTCTGAGCACTTGGAATGGACTGCAGGTACATATTAGGCTCCCTTTTCACCCATAGCTTCGTATCAGTGGCTCAAGACTACAAGAGAAAAAGCATATGATGCATTATTTGGAAGCAGCAATTTTTTTCTGAGGCATAGTGTTGCATAAGGTCTGTATTGATATGCAGCTGGACCTGTAAATGCTGATCAAGTGCCGTACATTCCTACTGTGATTGCCTGGAGTAGCAGGGCAGTGACTCTCTGGCATTTGGGAGCTCTGGCAGCAGAATAGTAAGTGAGGGGCTTATTGATTACAGGAATCTGTTCTACCGCTAAATGGTTACCTTTCTGACTGGTTTGTGCTTCAAGACCTGCATCGCTGAATACGTCTCTGACAGCAATAGATTGGGAGTACCAAAAGCAGATGTGAACTGACTGAGAATATTGCACTGAAAAATACTAGTATATTCAGAAAAAGGTTGTTTTCATGATCTTCCTGACTAACCCCCTTTCCTGTGCCCTGAAATTTTCCTTCTATTAGGTCGTGTTTGTAACTTTTCCATTACATTTTGATTTCATATTGTAAATGGGGTGAGTAAAAGCTCCTATTTAGCTTCTCCAATCAATTGTAGTTTTATATATCTTCTGTTAGTTTTTGTCACTTGCCATCTTTTAAAGCTAAAACCTCTGACTTAAGTATTTTGTTGTATAACAATTTATCCACAATAAGAATACTCTCTACTGGACTTACCTAAATTCCTTCTATTATTGCTAAATCATTTCTGAGCTGAAGAGACTGGATGTACACAGTATTCCAAGCACGTCCTCTACAGATTTGTGTTGAAAAGAATATATTGTAATACTTCCTTTATCGTTCATTACACCCACTAAATAACCTAAATATGTTTTTCTTTTGATCACTGTTTGCATGTGGAGGAGATATCTTTATCTGAGACCTTCACAATTCTCCCTGATGTATTTTTTTAAAAAAGTTAATTAATGTGGTGTCCTGGTTTAACCCCAGCTGGCAACTAAGCAGCACACAGCCACTCGCTCACTCCCCCCCTGGTGGGAAGGGGGAGAGAATCGGAAGGGTAAAAGTAAGAAAACTCGTGGGTTGAGATAAAGACAGTTTAGTAGGTAAAACGAAAGCTGCGCATGCAAGCAAAGCAAAACAAGGAATTTATTCACTCCTTCCCATCGGCAGGCAGGTGTTCAGCCATCTCCAGGAAAGCAGGGCTCCATCTCACGTAACAGTTACTTGAGAAGACAAACACCATCACCCTGAACGTTCACCCCCTTCCTCCTCCTTCCCCCAGCTTTATATGCTGAGCATGACGTCATATGGTGTGGAATATCCCTTTGGTCAGTTGGGGTCAGCTGTCCCGGCCATGTCCCCTCCCAACTTCTTGTGCACCCCCAGCCTACTCGCTGGTGGGGTGGGGTGAGAAGCAGAAAAGGCCTTGACTCTGTGTCAGCACTGCTCAGCAGTGACTAAAACATCCCTGTATTATCAACACTGTTTTCAGCACAAATCCAAAACATAGCCTCATACTAGCTGCTGTGAAGAATATTAACCCTATCCCAGCCAAAACCAGCACGTGGTATGTAAGAACCCAAAAAAGTGTGTGGGTAAGGCAGATTATTTCAACTAGGCTTGCCCAATGAAGTATTGTATATCAGATTTCACCTAACACATTTCCTTAGTGTGGTTTGGTGTCTGAAGTTCCTCCTCACCTTCTCTGTTCTTTGAGAAAAATGCAAATAAATTGATGTATTCTGTAACTGCTGCTCTCCTGTTGCTTATCCACCTTTCCAGCTCATGAACATGCAGCAACTTTGCTGGTAGGATGAATCCTGTGCCTCTTTCCTCTCACCTAACTATTTGGAAGATGACTGCTGTTTCATAGAATTTTGATCTATGCTTAACAGAAAAGAAAATTATACCTGCAGAAAAATCCCAAGGGTTATAATTTTGCACATTTGCTGATAAAAGTATATTTTGGTTTTCCAGGAACTTCTATGTATATCGGATTTAAGGGGGAGAGCAGATGATGAATCAGGAATTTGAATTTTATCTGGATTTCTGACAAGCTCTTTTCTCCATAGCTTTGCTGAGGTGTTCCAAGATTGGAAGACGATAGCTTGGTCTTGGGCTGCTGTGCTAAAGTATAGTTAATGGAGGATGAAAACTGTCATCCGTTCTTGAATATTGTGCATTTGGACAGAGAGATTGTCAGCAACGTGACAGTGATATCCCAGACACCATGATTTGTGTATTTAGTACACAAATGAGGTCATGAGAGAGCCCGTCACAAAGGCTGGAAAGGATGAAAGGATAATTTTTATCACAAAATCCCAGTGGAGGCAGCCACCTCTCCTCTAGCACACACAATTGCATATTCTAATCAGTGTCTGCAAGGCCGGGGATGTCCAAGGTCCCCCTGAACTATCTTGACAGATGTGAAAGACTCAGGCACTTCTGTCGAGTGGCTGCTCTAATGGCCAACTTACACCGAAGAGCAGAAAATGCTTCCGACATTCTCCGTCTGGCCTACTTCATGGTCACCCAAACTTGATTGATGGTTGTTCAGGTTCCAGCCAGCCAGAAAGTAAAAGAATGGGGTATTGTCAGGATTCAGGAAACATTGTGCTTTAACCACTGAGAGAGGAGGAATTTATTTTTATTGAGCTGGGTTGCCTGATAGGCTTTATTTCTTTTTTCACTCTTTCTGTCACTCTCATTCTTCCTGTCTTTCTCCCCATATCTCTTGTACTTTTAGCTATTTGTTCTCCTGATTAAGTTAAAATTAAATAGAATAAGCAGTCTGCCTGCTCTTTCTGCAATGTACCCTTCATTTTTTGAATAATGCTCCTTTTTTCTCTGATAACTTTTTCACCCAGATGTATTTTGTTCTTCTTAATTCATGTCCCTTCCCAACTTTTTATCAATTTACAGTATATCTGATCTATGAGTTACTTTATCCTGGCTCAGCTCAGTCCTTGCCACGTAGGAAAACAATTCCAACTATGGTTGGCAAACATTAACACTGCTTACACCACTGTTGTCTTTGATAACTGGGGTGGTGTCCAAAGACTGCATCCTCCAACACGCAGTGTTTCTCACATGAAGGCAAGACCTACCCGAGTTGTTAAAGGCTGTAATCTCTTTCCTGTAATGCAAATCAGGTGTAGCATTTGAGGGTCCAGCAAGGTGTCAGTGCAGTTCCCTGCGTTTGGCATGGTGTGCATGCTACTGTAGTGGAGGGAAGACTACGCTCCTTGTGTTTTTAATAATTTCATATCATTTGAAGAGCTTTACTTAAGAGTTTAGTGCAATATAAATAATCTGCACTACGTTGTTTCTTTTATCTAGCAATCTTTACAGGTAGCAATTAGCTAATGCTCCTATCACTCCTTGGAGCTGAGGAAGTACAATTTAAAGAAAAGTAATAATTGAAAGTCAGAAAGGCTAAATGATTTTCCAGGTTTGCATAGTATCAGTGGCAGGTCCAGGCACTCAGCTAGGAGCTGTTGACTCTTGGCTCCATGCTCTGACTAGTAGCTGCTGCTCCCTTTTTTTACCAGAATGTGACGATTTACTTCAAGGTGAGTGTCTTAACTACAGTCTTTAACTAGGGTCTTTGGTTTTGACATTAGTAATCTCAGTGGACTTAAGACAGTGTTTGACACTGATTTACCTCGTGTCTTCTCAGGGAGCTTGGTGTCAAAACATAGAACTGGACTTCTGTTAATGAGCGGGTATATCCCCATCCTTACTTTGGTGCCAGGAGCAGAAAACAACATGTGGTTTTTGAGCAGTACAGTGGCAGCCTTGATTTCTACCTGCAGAGAGAACATCTTGCTCACAGTGCACTGC